GAGGATCTTGGATGCAGTTGCATAGTTGCTAGGGTCATATTCGTGTTTTGTAAGGTATTTCTACATGTATCAAGCTGACTTTATTTACTTTTCTCTGCCAATTATCTCAACAACAGTATGTCATCCTTCTCTAATTTTACTCCTCACTACCCCCTTTACCCTGCTACTCTGTGTTTTGTTTCCAACTTACCGCTCCTCTGACTACATCTCACAGTCTTCATCTAATCTTATCAAAGAGCACTAGTTGAAATGAATGGAGATAGGCCTGTGGAAGATGCTCATTACTCGGAGACAGGATTCCCTTATGCTGCTACTGGAAGTTACATGGATTTTTATGGTGGTGCGGCTCAGGGCCCGCTAAACTATGCTCATGCTGGAGCAATGCATCCTCAGGTCTTTCCACTTTCCTTGCTTTTTCCTCTAGCCTGCTCTATAACATGTGTTTCTGTTCTTAACTATGTTTTGTGTCTCATCTGTTGTTAGATGAGCTTGTGATAGATTATGCTCATAAGACATAGAATGCCCTGACTCTACCTGCTGGTCAATACCTAACTTCCCTTCTTTGCCTATTCTCAGGACAATCTGTATTGGACCATGAATACAAATGCATACAAGTTTGGATTTTCAGGCTCAGATAATACTTCTTTCTATGGTTCTTATGACATGAACGATCATTTATCAAGGATGTCGATCGGGAGAACAAACTGGGAGTACCATCCCACGGTAAACGTTGATGAGCCTGAAATCGCAGTGGCACGGTCTGTTCAAATCGGGGACACGGATGAGCACTCTGAAGCTGAGGAATGTTAGTTATATCTGCTCATTCTTTTCTTTTTGTTACCCCTTGTCCCTCCCTTGATCATTTTTCATGCTAAGAATGTATGTGTTTACAGGCATTGCAAATGAGCATGACCCGGACAGTCCTCAGGTATGTGAACATGATCTAAACGGGTTTTTATTCTGTGCGACTAGTTAACTCTTGCCCATCTTTGTGAAGCTAGTGGTGTATCCGTGCAGGATGTGATGTAAACACTGATATGAATTCTATATGCTCGTTAATGCCGTGTTGCCACAGGTATCCTGGCAAGATGACATTGATCCAGATACAATGACCTATGAGGTGAGTTTTTTTATTTGACGGAGATGGTCAAGAGAGGCAGTGGATTCACATCTAAATGCGGGACAACATAAAAGCTGTTTGGTTTGTGGATCAGGAATTAGTAGAGCTGGGGGAAGCAGTAGGAACAGAAAGCCGGGGGCTGTCTCAGGAACTCATAGAAACGCTTCCCACAAGAAAATACAAGTTTGGGAGCATCTTCTCCAGGAAAAGAGCAGGGGAGAGGTAAAGAGCGACCTCATGATAGTGTTGGTATGAATTCACATTACAGGGTTTAAGTTTTACATACTGAAAAGCTTGC